ACACACACACACACACACACACACACACACACACACACACACACACAATGGTAGCAGCCTATACTTAAAATTGTATATGTGTCAGCATGTGGCACCAGAGCCAACAAACTACAGGAGATAAACAAAAAATTATAATACACACCTGATGCATCCCCTCCTAGCAATGACTTCTGCATGGCTGTCATTAAGTATCTCACCTAAATGAATGAGAGAATCAAGACAAACAAAACAACATATTGATATCAAGGTTGTTTTCCAGAAATGAAGACAACAAAAAGAAACTTCCATCTAGGCATTGATGGATTATTAATGGGGCCTACCGAGAACAGGCCCAGAGGCCCAAAATGTCCTTCACCTACAAAACGTCACTCAAAGAGACACGTTCCTACCAGGAAAGGACTCGAGGAACAACTACAAAGAAACAAAACCACTAAAAAGAGATGCCAAACAGCTGCAAAAAGACCCTAAAGAGTCTCAAAACAGGGGGCAAATAAAAACGCCACAAGGAGACCAAAACAACTATAAGACGCAAATCAAATACAAAGAGAGACAAAAAGACTCAAAACAACTACCAAGCCGTGCAAATCAACTACAAATTGACAAACGATTACAAAGAGACATTTAACAACTACCAAGAGAGGGAAATAAAACTACGGGGTTGGAGTCCCGTGTCCAATTGTCCAGGTTAGAGTCCCGAGGCGGGGTTAGAGTCCCACGCTAAATAAGACCTCAGGGAGGCCGGGTTAGAGTGTTTCAACGACTGTTTTTATTGTTTCAATGTATGTTCTTAATTGTTTTTTAAATCTCTTTTGCCTTATGTTTTGATGCTTTTAATGGTTTCATGTGAAGCACTTTGAATTACCTTGTTGTTGAAATGTGCTATACAAATAAACTTGCCTTGCCTTGCCTTACAGAGACACAAAATGACCACAGAGATACACAAAACCACAGATAGATGTGCAACAACTACAGGAGACACCAAACAGCAACAAAAAGAGTCAAAGAAAATACTTTTTGTGGTGGCAACTGTTTTTGGTTGGATTGTCGAAAAAAAACCTCTCTGTATGGGAGACATTGAGTACTCGACACATAAAGAAGGCCAAAAACAATGATCCACACCACACACCTTTGGGACTCATAGCCGTCTGTCCAATACATTTGGTCCCAGTTCCCAGGGACACAACCTCCTTCTTAACTGTGAAAGAACAAATGATGCGATTAGAATATAATTGATCACATATTTCGCCTTCATACATCGACATTTGTCTTCTTCTTCTACACATGTTCATATCCTATTCAATTGTTTTTGTGTCGTAATATGTTTTGCTGCTACTTTGTACAGCATAACTAAATATAGGCAGACACTTGGAGCGTGATTTGGTTCCCGTCTTCTGTTCACACCTGAAGTCTGTTGGTTGAGGTACATTTACTGAGTTTAGCTCATTGCAACTTACGTTTCCGTTTTGAATGCAACGTTATACATTCACTTTAGCTAAACGTAAAGTTGCAATGTTGTATTAGATATGGGGGACGAAAATGAAAAAAGATAATTCCTGTCCAGTTATAAAACATTGCTGACATACAAAGAACATGAAATATGTTGTAATGTCATAGCTTTATTCCGTTGTCCAACCTGTGTCAGAGTCAGCACACCGGGTGATTTGGACCACAGCAGCCAGCAGGGTCCACTCTCTGCCCGGCTCAGGCTTCCCTCTCCGGGGAAGCTGGTTGAAACGCTCGTAGCACAATTTGGCAATTTCATCCGCGTGCACCATGTTAAACCGGACAGGCACGTGTTAGTGGAGGCAGACGGGCATTAAAAAATAAACGTTACAGCCACGGTATCACATTAACAATATATGAATATTATTTGTGATTAAGTTGGGCCAGCAAGTCTACTTGGAGGCTTCTCGAGAAAACGAAAAGGTTACTTCCGGGCCAAGGCAAGGAGTGCTCTACCTTCACAATAAAAGTCCTTAATTTATGGAGAACTGAAACTCTTACATTACAACTTCCTAGGTTCTTCACTTCCTGCCCTCCATCTGAATTTCACGCGTCATAATAGTCACGTGATTGCAAAAAAAACTATATTAATGCGTTGGATGTATATAACTATTTGAGCACAGTAATAGTATCCTCGTAGTAGACCTACAGTAGTAGGCTACATGCAGCGAAAGCAGCTGTAGTAGGTATTATATTAGTTTAGGTTAAGTAATGGAAGACGTAGAATAAAATAGAATACCACCAAGACATTAAATATTAATTGGCCTATCAGCCAGTTCATTAAAAATATTCTTACATACAAACAAAGCACATAAAAACACTGAGCGTATGACAATTTATAATAATAAAATACAATGCGCAAATGTATGAAAACACATTACAAATGGAAGTAAGAAATGAAAAGATTAAAATGGCACTAAAAGGAGTAATACTGGAAAAGGAGCAAGACTATCAACACATTTTGGAGGTATGGAAGTAAAAAATCTGTTGAAAGTTTAGACAACTGTGAATTTAAATTTACATCAATTTTATCACTAGTTTATTGATTACAGATGAACATGAACAACCGATGGAAATATGTGTTGCTAGTCAGCATATGAGATGATATATGAGGTGCTTTTTATTTGAGATACAGTGGGTTAATATGACTTATTTTTTGTCACCACCAAGGGGGCAATTGCAACACTCTGACTTCTTGTGTCAAATTTCAAATAGTAGTCTTGTCCTTGTTAGTGAAAATATATCTATTGCATTATTAATTAGTGGAAACATGCTTCTTGTATCAAAAGATGAATAGTGTATTTCAAGTAGAGTGTGAGTTATAAAGGAAATTGTAAAAAAAATGTTACAATTGCCCCCCGTCTGCCCTTACTCAAGTACAGTTCATTATATAGTACATACTTTTACATACACTCAGCCACAGATTCTTACATCTGTACAATCTTGACTGACTTGTGGATCTATATTTCTAAGATGCTATGTTATGATAATACGTTATCTCCCACAGACACGCTGTTCATGTACTGTCATCTTTTATGAAATAAATGCAGATCCCCTTTATTCATCTTGGTTAATGTCCTCACAGATGCAGAATTAATCATGTATGAGGTTTTTCCTTTCATATTTACCAAAACATCCCAATGGAAATTCATTTTCGATATATAGTGTTAAGGCTAAATTGTCATTTATTTAATTTAACATTAATTTTAAAAGGTAAGAGTATAATATTTTCTTTACTTATTGCCTGCATCTATCATCTGCATAAAGAGCACCAATTGAGTCAAAGTGACAGTAAAGTCAATACACTGATTTAAAATAGTGTTTCATCCATCAGCTCTATAAAGTCAGATATCACTTTTTGCCATCAAGTTGATGCCCGACATATCTTCAAGACGTCTGGACACACCAGACTTTTGCCCTACAGTGTGAACTGTACATTGAGGAATATTTAAACATTGTATGCCACACTGTCATTGACTGGCACAATGATTCTGACCGTGCAGTGCTGCTGTTTGACGACCAGTGAGGGAACACAGAGCCTTTGTGCTCTTCGGGTAAACTTATATCTCTTACGCAAAAGTGGAAACTGATTTCATGCTCCAGACTTTCGTCATTTCTTCTGTGGAGGAACTGAGCAGACACTGGCCAACGATGCAGTTGTCCCTCTGTCAGAGGTTCACGAGGGACGCTCTGCTTCTCTGTGCTCACCTTGTTTCAGGGTCCCTAACGGAGACGCACACATCTACACTTTCTGAGCTCTGACTGAGGTCCTTAAACACATCTTTCATACCACTGTCAGTCCTTACCTTATTTTAAGACATAATTTTAATGGACAAGCTCATTCGGTCTGCACCTTTTGTGCATTCTTACCTTTAAAAAAAATATTACATGATGGCATTAAAGTAATAATAAAATCCTTTAAATCATGCTGAAGTACATTTTTTTGTAAATCAAACTGCATCCGCAGTTTTTAGTTAAACTCTGAATAATAATAAATAAGTAAGGAGTACTTGATTTCACCACCAACACTTTAACTAATACATGTTTCGAGAAATGCTAAAGATTTTTAAACCACCTTTTCACTTCTTTAGCAATCAACTTACAGTAATGCAAAGTGAATACTAATGTAGCTAATGCTAAAGGTTCCACATTTCCTCCGAACTATAAACAGGTTTTGAATGCAGTATGTGCTGTGCTAACGTCATTCTAACATTGTTATAATGTTAGTATTTAACTCAAAGACCCCTGTGTGTAAAAGCCTGTACTCTTATTTATAACATGAACCCTGAATATATCACGTCAAACTGTCTCCAAAAAAACAACAACAAAGCAGATTGAAATTCATTTATTTTAGTTATGTACAGAGGAAAAAATGCTGAATTTCACAAGTAACAGAAAAATAAAAAATAAAATCACATCTCATCTCTCTAACAGAGGTTCACTATCTCATGATAACGGCTCTCTGTCTCTCGTATACACACACAGACACGCACTCCCTCTCTCTCTGTCTGTTTGTTTGTCGGTCTCTCTGTCTGTTTGTTTGTCGGTCTCTCTGTCTGTCTGTCGTCACTTTAGAATGTTAAAAAAATGTAGTTCTCTCTGGTAGATATGTTATACTGCATTTGCGGGTAGCTGTGCTGCCGTCGTGAGTCGCTGCCGACGTTAAAACCATCCGGTTGTCTGGTTTTCGGTGCGTTTCTAAGCGGTGAGTAGAGGTGTATGTGTTGGGGGGGGGTACTCTAGTCAAATATAACTCTCTGTATGTGCCTTCCTGTCAAACCCACATAGACATACACACCATTTTTATGCATATACACAACATCATCAATGTGAGCAACCACACACACGTACACAGGCAAGAGCACACACACTGCGACTTTAACCCATGACTCGGCTCACAGACATCATCCCCTCCAGGTGAGAGGGCCGTAGATGATATGTCAGCCCTGTGATTAACAAATGCAAAAAAATAATAATATTAATAACAAAAGAACTATTCCATTGAATGAACGGTTTTCTTTTTCAGCGGCCCGTGTCTCTTTTTCCAATGTCACTCCTGTCCGAATCCCTCCGTCTCCTCAATGGCGAACATGAGTTTCTCTCGGAGCTGCTCCAGGCTCCTGTAGGGCGGCAGGTCCAGACGGTTGAAGCTGTGAGGACGAGAACATTGTGTTGTTCAGTATTATTGGTTTGATATTAGCAGAGATGTCCCTGTCGAGAGTTTGATGCTCTCTAAGCTCACAATCCTACTCACCAAATGACCTTAGTCATTATCAGACTTCACCCAAGTGTAATGTATTAATGTATTTTAATCACCATGGGTTTAAACTCTGACGGCCCGCGGGCGGGCCGTCAGAGTGATAACTGCATATTTGTGTTATGCACACAACTGCCCTGTAACGATGAGTATTAATGTGATATCTCATTAGAAAGCTACGGTTCTTGTAATTCGATTTATGCAAACCATTTCAAGATACAATAACAACAGCAGGTACAGTTAATGTCTCTGTCAAACAAGCACTCCAAAAATAGCCGATAAAATATCGCCGTGACTCACCGATTATGATTCATAACGTCCCCCTTGTGCATGCTAGTCCAGCAAAAACGGTCTTGCTAGGTGGCTAAGGGTCCACTCGATCGAATCCAGTAAAAGATTTAGTCCAAAACACATTAGTACGTCCATAAAGACCCACGGGGGGCTGTTGCATCATTTCAAATTAGCCAGCAGATATGATAACTCGCGATCATATTTTTTGGGCATAACTTCACGTTCCGTGTCAACAGAGCCGAGATTTTCATCACAAAATGGAGCCTACATTCCGCCGGTTAGATTGACACCTCATTTGACCCAATAGGAGCTTCTATAGCACGGCCACAGTCTGGAACAGCCAACGAGAGTCCGCTTTGAAAGACAATGCCCGCCTCACTTCTTTGGGTATAGCTCGAGGCAATCGCAACAGATCCAGTTCAAACTCAGGCTCCATATAGCCAATGAAATTACGAAGCCAGGGATATGCAGATTTATCAGATTGAATGCTGGGAAAGTTCTCAAACCTGAACTGGAAACCATGAGTCAAGTTCTTGGGACAGAGTGTGAAGAATAAAGTCTGGTTCATGAGAATTTTCAAGAATCTGTGAAAGTTGATAATGGTTAAATATGATATAGTTAACCATACATCAACATAAATTAACTACAGTTCGAATTTTCGGACATGTAGTTTATCGTAGACGTAGTGACGCGAACCTCCAAATGCGTTTTTACGCGGCCGCACTCTTAGTAAACCGCGTGTAAAATATCAGTTTTTTGTTTTATTGTTATCAAATTTTAATTTATACTAGGTGCCATGACTGTTGGCTGTCGACGGAGAGTCTTCTCAAGACTGTAAGTCCCAGCCATAGATAGCTGCTGCCATCTGTTGGCCAAAACAAATCTAGGTGGAAGTAAAATGCTTCTCTTTCACTGTGCTGAAAACGCCATAGCTCAATGCTAATAGCACTTACTGTGATTGTGACTGATTGTGAAGAAACTTCAGAGTGTTGCCGTTCAATAAAGACTAAAACCATACATGTACTCCCAATGGTTCAATAAGAGCTGTCAGTTTACTTTGGGTACGCGGTTGATAGGCGTTTTAGGCAAATTATGCAGGAGTGAGAAGAGGTATTATCCTCAAGATGTTCAAGAAATGGTCATCATTTCTTTTCAACAGAGGATTTTCTGTATTTTGAAATCCTCTAATTACCTCCCTATATAGTGGTTTTCATTGTTAGTGCAGCATTTGCCATTCCAGCACTGGTTTAAATAACCTACACACGAGGGATTCACAGGAAATGATGCACCATCTAATCTGGTAAAAATGATCTAATATTAAAGGTGCACTTGTTAGCTTTTTGGAGTCTTCAGTCGGGTCAAAGGCTGTGGTTACACTTGTCTTTTCAATGTGACTTTAGTGAGCTGATAAGCAAAATCAGAACTCAGCTGTGTCCACACTTGACACTTGAATGCAACCTGCCTGATCGGATATATTTTGTGGTCGAAGAAGAAGCTGTAAAACGGTGGATGAACACATTTCATTTTCAACTTTTCACAATAAAAGTCCCCGTTGTTTTTGCCGTTATTCTTTCTCCCTGCAGAATTAGTAGACTAACAAAGCTCAGCTAATTGATACACATTTTCCTGTAAATTCTTCACAATAAAAGACTACCGTTATTTTGGTATTTAAAAGCTTTGCAATCAGGAAAATCAGGAAATGTTGGGTTTTCATCAGTAGTAACTCAGACAGTGGGTCTCAGCTGCCTGCGTTTTTCTCTTCGCTTTGATCTCATCAGGAGAGGAACTCCCATGTGGAAGGAAGATGATGGAGGCTTACGTTTGATCGTACCTCACTGAGATCAGAACTCAATGCGAGCCAGGCCACCTCGTCATGTGGACTGATCTAAACCCCATGGGAGCAAGACCCGATCTCGGATGCCACATTGAAAAGCGAAGTAGTGCCACAGTCTTCCTTTTGTCTTCAAGAACATCCCTCTGAAAAGCTAAAAGTGGACCTTTGAGCTCAGATTATTTTGCAACACGTCAGATGAGGCAGCAGCTTACCATGTGTGGCTTCTTGGAAGCCAAGTCTCCTTCCCCACCTTGTCTATGCAGAACTTCTGGGGACCGTTACTTCCTGCACAGGGAAAGAACTAAATAAGTTATTTCATCAAATAAAAGCTTGAATTTTTTTCCCATCATAATGGTCTCACAAAAACACATAATTTAAGATTTTTCTTTGACTTTATTTAACCATGAATATAAATAGGGTAATTGATCATATAAAACAGCTTACAACATAATGTACATTTGCACAGCTCTTATTGCATCAGTACAACATCTTACACTCACCACTTTGCTGCTCTGACTTTCTCTTTACAACAAAAATACTTGTGTCATACACCTATTTATTCCTGTTTTTCTGACCAATGAAGCGTCATATCGATTTTTCACAATAAAAGCTTTCAGTGCCAACAATGGCAAGGCTGGGATACCATCAGTGTCATTGAAGTAAAAAAATCTACCGGAGGTGACGGACGCGGACTTTATTTGCGGCAGCTCAACATCGATTTGTAAAAAAACAGAAAAGTGAAAGGACTGGAGGCGTAATTTCAGTTAGAGAGGAGAAACAGAGCAGCAGAGTATGACAACACGATGGAATTGCTGATGTGGGAAAAAAACCTATCCAATGCAAAAATAGAATCTCAACAAATACAAAAAACAAAACGATGTACCTATGAGCTCAGTGAAGCCTCCGACAGGCAGCCGACAGGTTCCCGTTACAAACTGAAGCAGACGGATTCTCTTCTCGTTGTCCATCTCTTTCACCACCTGCAGGAACACGACTTTGTCATTCACTGGACAGTATGTGTGTGTGTGTGTTAAGATCAAGGGCCCCTGCAGCCACATTGTGTCCGTACCTGCCAGAACCAGTGGATCTGCTTGCTGTTCTTGGTGTAATGTCTATAGATGGTGTTCTTCTGCCAGTCGGCCATGTCGATCTCCTGCATCCCACACAGCATCAGCTGAAACAGACCAAAGTCATGTCCTTTAGTACGTTTGTCTGACTCAGTGGGCAGAGGACAATGCGGCACAGGACAGTGTTGACACACTGAGTCAACGTCTCTACTCCAGGATTATTTCATTCCCAGTTTGTGCTGGGACAGGCCTCAGCGGCAGAAGGACTGTTCATCAATCAGGAAGAATAACAATTCACAAACTAAACCGACGCAGCTGACAAAAAATAGGCAGGAATAGATGTTCAGTGCAGCTAGTATGAATTACTGTTAACCCACAACCAAAACTTATAACTGACAAATGTAGAATGAAGTGATTTTGATACCACAAATTTTAATCTTCTCTTTGGTTGCTTTTCCTGACTGAAGCGTTGGTCACAATGCATTCAAGGACCGTCGGAAAGTTGAAAAACTGAAAATGTGTTTTTACAGCTTCTGGCTATGATAAATGGTTTGTTTAAGAAAACATGACTCTGAATTAGTCTCAGAGTAGCTTTGAGTTTGTGCACCTTGCTAACATTTAACCACTTCCATTCCTTTCGGGTGCCGGTGTCCTCGGCCGACTTTCGTGTCTTTCAGAGGTGTTTAAGACCAATTAAACCAGTAAAACAAGGAAACAAAGCTGCCCAACTGGCTTCTCCCACCCTTCAGCCCTCCTCGTTGCTCCTCACCTCCAGCTCCTTCTCGTCGAAGTAGCGGAGCCACTCCAGAGGAACCACTTCGTTGAAGCCGTCCAGGAAGGCTTTGGTCTGCTCCTCCACGCCGCGGGTGAACCTCCAGTCCGTCAGCAGGCTGAGGGGAAGGAACAGGTCTTTATGTTTGGGTCTCCACCGCTGACATCGGGTTCTCTAAATACTTTTTGTCGACATTCAGGCTTTTGCTGCTCGTGTTAACTCACCTGATGTACTCCTCCTTGTTCTCCTCGGTGACCAGCTCGTTCTCGCCGTCGTCCTTCAGCTGGTGGGTGGAAACCTTCCCGAGGATCTCCATGTCCTGTGCAAAGTACAGCTCCACGCCGCACTCCTCCAGATTGTTCTCTCTGAACACACACGCACAGAGAAACAACTTCAATCTAAGAAGCATCATTCTTTTAAATGCTACTCTGACTGTTTAACTTCTCCCGGGATGAAAAGCTAAACCTCACCTGTTTTCAAAGTATATTGATCCTTAAAAAACAGATTTTTGGAAAGATTCCATTTCAAGCAATTTTTACTGTCAATTTTATATTTGTAATAAATAGTAGGTCTTTTTTGTTGTTTTTGTTTTGTTTTCACCTTGTGAGTCTGTGTGTGGTCGTGGAGACACCTGCTGTGGCAAGAACTACCAAAGAGGAGGATCTGTTTATCCGTGGACAGATTTTGTCACCTCAACAGCATCACGACTGTGTAAGATGCAGTCACGTAACTTTTGAGCTGTGTAGTTGAGCTTACGATGGGTGTGGTCCATGCAAGGTTGCTAGAAGCAAAGGGGGCAAATCTACGTTTTCGACCGGTTCTGGTGTCGCAGCTTGTGTGATCTCATCGCATCTCTGTAATTGACTGATTTCACAACGGTCTACACACCTGGGTAGTTCTTATTCGGTGCTTTCTTTCAGTTACAAAAACAAAAGCAAGAAACAAAGCCTGAAAAAAACCCTAATTTCTACTCTTTCAAGCACAAAACAACAATAACGCACACAGAGAGCTCACCCATCCTGCAGTACTTACTTGACCCACATGATGGAGTTATAGAACTCGGGGTCTATGGACTCCAGGTCTTTGAGCGTAGGTTTCTTGTCCAGCATTCGCTTGTAGAACGGCAGCGTGAAGCCGGTGTCGATGAACTTCCCGTGGTACAAAGCCTGCAGGGGAGGATTTCTTACATTAGAAACCACGAAAAGGAACTCAGAAATATATACATAGCAACACAGTGTAGGTTCACTGAACTTCATGGATCTAACAAAGTAGAAGAGTCCTGTAATCTTGTGACATTACAGTGTTGTTGGCTGGTTGGTGACATATGGTTCGAATTTGTTCCCCACAAATGATAAAATATGATGAATCACCGGGGATTGTTTCGTGCCCAAGTGTTGGAACTGTTTTAACAGCCAGTAACCTTTACAGGAAATATGAATGGGGCTTTTCTTTCTGGCTGCGTCACATAATTCACTCCACACCTGCTTATGATAAAACAATAACTGATAATCCATGTGATTGGTCCAGAGGGGAACTGACATCGTAGCTGCTGCCAGGTGTTATTCTGTTCATTTTATCCTTATTTTCATGGTGATAACTACGAGGAGTCTGCTTCAAACCAAGTTATAATCCTAGTTGTGTGTGTGTGTTCAGTGAGCAAACTCAGCCAGATGGAGCTGATTAATGTTAAAAAACAGAGGGATCAGAGCTGTGATGAGCCAAGAACAACACAGATGCCCACTGACTGACTCAGACTGTTCTGCTTTGTCCTACTGTATCCTGACTGACCATGTGTCTGTCTGACAGCCAGCGACACACACACACGAAGATTTATAGACAGAGTCAGTGGAAAGTGAGGCGTAAAGGTAAAGAAAAGAGAAAGAAAGAGAGGGTTGGTAGAGACCAGCATCTTTATAAGGGAAGTCAGCAGAGTGAGATTTTTCAGACTAAATATAGGCAGCCGCTGTCGGGCGCGGGCTGGGTGTGGCGGTGAGGTCATGGTGTGGGTGAGGGGTGGGCTGGCAGATGGAAGGAGGGGTGGGGGTGTCGGTTTTGGGACCTACAGATTTCTGGAGTTGATCCCTCAGAGAGAGAGAGAGAGAGAGAGAGAGAGAGAGAGAGAGAGAGAGAGAATAGTACATACTTTACATCATATATAGACACTGGAGACCCTAAAGGTTGTGTATTGAATTGTAAACCTTTGTTGCTAGCAAATAAAGGCAAGATATCCAGAAAATAAGACCACACATGTGGTAATAATGTTTCAGTCTTAGCTGGTAGTAAAAAAAATCTGGTTTCATGGTTTATACTCCTTGGCTTTGAAACGACCCGTCTGAGGAGATAATGATCGCAGAATAAGTAATCTCTTCTAAATCCATTCTTAAAAACAATTTTTACCGACTTTCTTTAATGTGATGTCCTCTTTCTATGGCTTTTATTGCTTTTATTATTATCTTCGCCAGGAGGATCATGCAATCGGTTGCGTGTGTATCTGTGATTGAGTGTGCACCGTTGTGTCTGTCCACGGCTAATCTGGTATTCTGCTGCAGCAAACTGCATACTATTTTGGGTGACCAGTTATGGCTGCATTCTCAAGGACCTCTCGTGTTAGCTTTCTCTTGGTATATTGTCTTGTATTGTATCGATGCAGCAGAACCAGAGATATCTACTTATTTATTCCACGCCCTCTTCTTTCTTGTCAAAATCTGGTGCCTATATTACCCAGAATGCTACTAAACTGTGTTATGTGTTATGCTAATAATAATGCAGCCTCGAGCTGGTAACCTGCAGCAGAGATGCAGCTTTCAATTAGTCCGTTAAACGCTAATGCTAATCGCTAGCATACATCTAACTTACGATACCATACCCATATCCCCAGCCTTTGTGGGTAAACTCAAATTCACAAATGTTTATAAACATTCATACTCTATTTAGTCACCATAACAGAACCTTTACCACACTCTTACTTTTTCTTCTTCTCTCTTTCTACTCTTTTTTTTTTTCCTTTCTTCTTCCACACTCTTACCATGACCAATCATAACAATAGTCAGCATGCTAGCGATTAGCATAAGCTAATTGAAATGGTAATGGCTATCATGAACAATAATTCAAAAACAGCTAAGTCAGCTAAATGTTAAAATAATAAAGACCTTGCGAGGCTGTTTATGTGGTGCTTTTTATGTTCTGTAACAGTAGCATGGAAGCATCGTGGAATGAGCAAGCTAGCTAGCTAACTAGCCCACAGAAAAGACTTCAAGCCCACAGAAAAGAGAGAAAAGACTTGTGTGGTCCTATAAATGTAATGCTACACTGGTTAAGGGAATGAGCTGACAGTAAATGTGACTGGGCATGTCTGAGCCCCCCCTCACATCCCTACCCATGTTGATACATTTTTCACACCTCCAGGCATTTATTGAACTTCCAGGATAGAGGCACTTCAGCCAAAACCCTGGAAGCAAATCAAATCGCACATATGATTTAAATAACACCACTCCAAAGTGAAGCTCACCATGGCGATGAACCGCCCGATGAAGCGGAAGTATGTGAGGTGGTCGGGGTTGATGGAGGAGGCGGGGTTGATCTGCAGACAGTAGTTGTTCTTGCCAGCGTATTCAAACAAACAGTACATGGGGTTCAGCACCTCGTGGGACAGCAGGAAGAACCATTCCCTGCAGAGCAAGAGGACATTACAGGAGATATGAGAGGCTAAGAGAAGACAGCAGGGATGTACTATTATTTTTTCTTTTTATAAATACAAGGCATAATGTTTGATGATTTAGAACTATCAATTTTCATCAAAGACTAGTTCAGAGGAGGAAGCAGAGGAGTTCGTTTCATCACTGTGAGCTGAGACAAAAAAACAATCAAAACACATTTTGAGCAGATAACGTGGATAAAAGAAGACAGCTTATAACAACAATCACAGTATATTCAATCCAAGGACAGAACATGATCAACCAGTAAAGCTTATAGAAAATAATAAAAAACGTAAATCACAAAAATCACAGTAAAACTGAGTAATTCTATCTCTTCAGAGGAATGAAGAATGACGCTTTGTATGTTGGAAAATGGCAGTAAATCAATTATAGCTTAAGTACACCTGATTTTAGGATGAATCTCATTTATAGATAAAGACCAGAAGATACTGAGTCTGTAAGTTTTAGGCAGGTCTAACTTGAAGAGCAACATTAGTGAGCTTGGTTTTTTTTTTAAACACCACGAAAGATTATTTTCTCCAGTGTTGCCATCACTTAATGTGGAGTTTGACATTTTTCCTCATTACTGTTGGGTATCTAATAAAGTACTTTGAAATAACCACTTTCTAAATCAATTTTTTCCAGGACATTTTCAGTGATGATGTATTTGTATGACACACGGGGATTTCCCCAAACACTGATATGTTTCTCTATCTGGAAGTGCGGTTTAAAAGACATGCAGTATATGGCTATAACCTCTCTATGGAATCATCTTTTAAATGCTTAGACATTATGACAAATTGGTCGTAGAATAAGATGATAATAAAAACAACCACAGTAATAGCCAGCACTGACTTTACATTTACATTTGAAGGGTAATGTAAGTTACGATATTCAGAGTTTCGGCCACTTGAGTTGTAAACTGAATGAGCAACCATGTGACTTTGGGGTGTCACAGTGTTTCCACAACATTACTAAAACACTGTAGTCCTTAAACTACCATTTGACCGTTAAAAAAAGTGGACACAGTAAAGCAGACAGCGTCAACACTGAGCTCTAACTGAGTCAAATAAAATTTGATGCGTTTAGTTTCATTTAAAACCAGATTTGAGGTTACTTTAAATATAATTTTATAAAAAAGGTTTCTAAATCCTGAATTAAATTAAATTCTGAAGGAAGAAAATCCTGGTATAAATCAAATTCTGAATGAATGAATCCTGAATTTAAATACATCTTGGACTACAATTAGGCAAATAGTCTAAGTCCACAGCTTCAGAATGAATATTTTAGATGGATAGATACCATTTATTCAACTCTCACAAAAAGAAGGGAATACGCAAAATGTATAATTAGAATTTAAATGACATTAAGACTCCTAATCTAGGCTATTTCTTATGGTAATCTTGTGTAGACCAGGTGTCAAAAAGAAGAATTTTATCACTGGATAGTGGTATAAATTTGAATATACAATACATTAACAGATTTGACACATAAATGATATGGAGACAACACATATAACACGGAAGATAAATACTACTGAATCAAATAGACACAAGGAGACTGTGGGAGGATGCATGTTAGACAGAATGAGGGCCCACTAGCACCACCACCACTACCACCATTAGCTGCAGCACCAGCACCTAGCGCTCCCAGGGGCCCCTGCACTCCCCCCTCGGGGTTTATGGGAGGGGGATGTGGACTGACGGACGAATGGACGCAGACACCTCACAACATCCCGTCCGTGGTTCTACCCTGTGGTAGAACAGCATGATGTCACCTACCATAGGGTAAAACCACTGACGTGACACCGGAGACAGAGACACAATGTAAAAAACAAAAACGAACAGGAAATAAATTGATGAGAACGCCGCCAAGACAAAAACAACATATAAAGAGAGGAGGACCTGGAACCCAGCGGGGGTGGGGGATACAGTATATGTGATGGGTGGATGGAGGGATGGAGGACAGAATGTAAAGAAGTTATGCAACAACAAGGATTTACAGAGAATGGATCGTTTTTGGAAGCCAGCAATCTCAACAACTTCAGCCCATTATACCCATTGCCTCTTTATAATCTCTTAAAATAGTCTCAATCCACCCTGGAACTGACGGTTAACAGATTAATCGCTGGTTCCATTGGAGGAGGAAGCTGATGCAAAGATGGAGAAGAGGCAGGGACAGGAAAAATGCACCATCACCAACATTAAAAATCAATGGGATAAATGTAGCACCAACCGCATGCTTAATGATGGAATAAAAACATGAGGAGAAGAAGAAGGAAGGTGCGTTTGTTTCGCTGTTGCTCTCACCTGGCGATGCCGCCGTAGTCCAGCCCCTCCTCTCCTCTCATTATGATGTAGAGTCTGCGGCGAAGGTCGTACGGCTTCACATTCATGATCTGACGACAGGACAGATTATATTATTTGAGAAATCATTTTAACAGGCAACATCTGAAAATGATAGAAAACTGGAGACAAGAATAAATGTTTATTTTCACCTTTAATTTCCCTTTCTGCAAAAATGATTTAGTGATATTGTGCAAAGTCTGAAATGAATGTTGTGTGTCAGATGCACTAATGTATGTATGGAATCATCTGAGCCTGGTTTACGGATACTTTTGTCCAAGGGTGGCCAAACTGCGACTACTAGATGTCAACTAAATTTAGTGGAATTATCTCAATTATCTAATATATGTCAAACAATGTTTTATCATTTCTGTCTGTTCTGTTTGTTACATATTATATACGTATTAGACAGATTTACATCTTACATTTGCATCGTAATCGTTTAAGTGGGCGTTTTGCCATGAACAGAAACCAATATTTGGCTATTTCTGTCAGTTCTAACTTTACATATTGACACATAACATCGTAATATTTTAAAAGGGCACTTAGGCCATGCACTTTATTGGTTTAAAAGTATTGAATGAATTTTAAAAGCAGCAGACACAGAAAAACCTTTTTGTAATATGTGGTCACACCAGTAAACTGTAATGTCAAACGTTGGTTGTAATGTGTAGTTTTTTGATAGAAAATACATTTTCTATGGCACATGTCCTGGTCTAGAAACACTGATTTTCTTGCAGAGTAACTGGTTGAAAACTAAACATTCACTATTGTTTGGCCCGTGACTCCTTATATTGTTCTCTATATGACGCACAATCAAAACAGTCTGGCCGCCCATGTCAGGCTATAATAAGATATAAATCGATGAAATATTTTGGAGCAACATTGGATACAGATGAAAAATGGAAATAAGTCTGGTGAAATAAAATAACTGCAAACCAAGTTCAGATACCAGAATAAGCCAATGACGTGTTTTTGTCTAATCGCTTTGTACTTTTTCTGCAAACATGTTACACAGTATTTATATCATGTCTTTGGTTACAGGGTGAAATGTTGCAAACTAAACACAAGGTGACATGAATGTAGTTGTATTTGAGTGTAGATCAGGTGTGCGTTCGGTTCGTCTCTGACCTGCTGAAACGAGTCCTCAAACAGCGTCTGTCTGGACACGGAGATCTTGACGTGGCTGGGCAGGGCGTTGGACTGGACGGAGACAAAATACAAAACATGCATCAAGTTAGAAAGAGAACTCCATATGGGGAAAAATCGAATCTTGAACAGGTTGGATTCGGTAAGACCTTCTGAAAACTCGACAACTGCTGCTGACCACAAATCTAACTTTCACTTTTGACCCTGAGAACACTTTTCTAAAGCTGCATTTCCACCTCGAAGTTCCTGATAATTTAAAGTTAGGGGACTACTTTTTAAGGAACTAAAAGGTTCCTTCAGCCCCTTGTTCTCTGTGTTTCCATGATATCTAACAGTAAATCATCTGCTGAGTGTTTGATGGCTATTTATTTTTTAGAATGTATCTGATGTAAAACGATCAGAAAATAACTCTTTTTCTCTCGACGTTATTTTTTAAATGAGTGTGGAAGCCTAACTTTACCTTCAATGTTATCAAACAAAGAGAAATGCTCTCCTCTCATCATAAATCGATACAGGATCACCTCCTTGTTTTAGGAGTGTTTTTATAATGTCTTCTGTACTGAAACGGATTCCCCAGGGAAACGGAATATCCGAACGGTGTACAGTCACAAGAAGGATTTAAATTAAATCCTTTGCATTTGATTGGACCGCTAAAAAGTAGGCAGGCTTAGGATTTCCCTCGCTACGGAGCTACAGAGACTGTGGCTCCACAACAGATTGATTTATGGATGTCATGATGTTATTGGTTGAATTAGGTTGGTGCTAGCTTACACACATCATATTTAGTTTTACAGGAAGATATTGATTTTTTGTAATTCTGTTGTGCATATATAACATGTGCGGGGGATGTGATCTAAAAGGGTTATAGTCTTGACTTTAACACTTACATGGCACAGGAAACGGAACTGGTGGTACTTCCACCTGAAGCTGCGGTCGTAAGCACCGGGTGAACCGCCCTGCCGTGAGCTACACACACACACACACACACACACACACACACACACACACACACACA